TGATAATTTTAAGACTTGTGGACTTCCTCTGCCTGCACCCTGCAGCATCAACTGTGCAGGATGGGGTATGAAGGCAGAGTCTTGTCTAGCTGCCTGGTTGCCATGTCCACAAGTCTTAAAATTGCCAAGGTTGAGGACCCCTGAGAGATGTGAGAGACAGGGAGAAGGAGGAGTAGAAGGAAAAAGAATTCTTATTCAGAAACCCTTCATTGTATAGATCATCTCAAACTCCCTCATGAAGAGTACTTTTTATTAAATGACAGATTTTTTTTTTCATGGAGAATAATCATGTGGCTAACATTTTGGAACTGGAAGAAAACATTAATACAATAAGCAAGTTTCTCATCAGGCAAGGTTGACTTTCTCTTTAAGTCATGCATTTTCACTTATCAATAACATTCAGCAAAATTGTTTGAAATCATAATCAGTCCTAAGCTAAGGTAATTATCAGATCTGGACAAGATAATATCACCATTTTCCCAAATCAGATTGATTAATTCATCTATTTGTAGAAGCCTAACAAGTTTTCAGTGTATCTTTAGTCTATCTGCTTATGTTGGGCTTTTGGAAGTCTTTCAAGACATGGATGTGTTCCCAGGCTTGTGTTCCCCTGAATTGATGATACATTGTTTTCTGTGCTGCTACTGCCTTTATAGGTTTTTTTAATGTTATCCTATGTTATATGATTTTGTATTGTGCTATTGTACGTTATTAGTCATATACAGTTGCTATGATGTGATAGGCAGCCATATTTAACACATACATTAAGGAAATTGTTTTGAAACATTCACCTGTAGAAGGAGAAATAGTGTAAGTGTACATTATGTGCCAAGAATATACCTTGGAAGTATTTTGCTTACCTCTTAACACAGACGCCTTGGGAGAAATAAGGACAGGGTCATTTTCCAACCAGATTATATTTTTGATTATGCACTAACATGACTAAAACTCTCTCCAAGTAGAATTTGATACCATATTGCTATTTATCTAAGGCAGCAGCTCCCAACCTTTTCTCTACCCTACTCCCCTAGAACACTTCTGATATATTCTCACATCCCTTACAAAAGTTTGAAATAACAGCAACAAATTATGCATATACACTATAATTTTGAAAACCCAAATTTTTGCACCCCCTGGAATATCGTCTCGTACCCCTGGTTGGGAACCCCTGATCTAAGGCAAGGCTGCATAGTAAAAAAGAAAAGAAAAAGAAATATACCTGATTATCTTCTCTCAACATCAAGTGTCAGCTTCATTTTTTAATTTGCTTGTGTCGTGGGGCAGTAGAAGTGGGGGGGGGGAAAGAGCTATAAAATATACATTAAAACATTTAGGATTCTGAGTAAAAAGTTCAGGATAAAATTGAAAAGCCTTATAGAAACTGAAATGATTTTTCATATGCCTTCTAAAGACTAGAAGATAGTAATGAACAGAAATTGTATGAAGGAAGGATTTTTAATTAAGGAACTTGGAAAATTCCACATGACAAGAATATTGCTTTGTATTCTTTAATTGCAAATAAAACATTTATTTGGATATTAATGCAGACACACATAGTATACTAGTTTACATAAGAAAACACTGTGATAACAATTACAGTCATTTTAATAAGAGATGAAACAGTAATAAAAATATTCTTATATTCAGTTAGATTGACCTAGAATAAGCATGAATTAAATCACAAAATCCATTAATATTTTAAATAATACACCCTTTCTAAATACCATAATTCTGAAAATGCTGCAGTTCACATACAGAAAAATGATTAATCCAATCCTCATTTAAAAAAAAGAAAATTAGCCCAGTTTTAGGACAAGTTGACTAGTAAAACAATTTAAGACTGCTGTATTTCACTATTAATCATCTCTCAGTTCAGGACATAGGTATTTCTAGCGTTCTGGAAAAGCAGAATGATTCAATAATATAGTATCCCTCCTCTTTTATTGCATATCATTTCACTACCCAAGTTTTATGAGCCTTAACTCTTACATTTAAATGTGATTGGATAAATACAGAAGGTATGTTGTCATATAGAAACAGTAACAAATTTATATAGAAGCAATAAATAATATTTAGTTAAGTATTGTTTAGTCCCTGCTCACAGTCACTCACAACCTTGGTCACCTCCCATCTTGACTATTGCAACACACTCTGCATGGGGCTGCCCTTGAAAAGTATCTGGAAGCTTCAATTGGTTCAAAATGCAGCAGCCCATGTGGTTTTCTGCAGGCCTAGATGTACACAGGTGACATCTCTCCTGTAGGAGTTGCATTGGCTGCCAATTTGCTTCTGGGTCCAATTCAAGGTGCTGATTGTCACCTTCAAAGCCCTACATCAGATATGTCAAACTTGTGACGTCGCATGACGTATCAGAACTTTTTCCCCATTGCCGGCAATGGGGTGGGTGCAGTTTCCTCATGACACGTCCGGCCCGCGGGCCAGCAACATGGTTTGGGACCAGGTTATTTGAAGGATCATATTTCCCTAGTCACATCTATCAAACTTACTAGAGCAGAGAGGCAAAGAAGGTTATGGGTCCCCTCTCCTAAAGAGATACATCTAGGGGGACCAAGAAGAAAGGCCTTCTCTGTTGTGGTTGCCTCCCTATGGAACATTTTCCCATGGAGATAAGATTGTCCTCAGTTATGACCCAGGTGGTCAAGGCAAGGCAAGCCTCTAGAGCAGGGGTGTCAAACTGCTGGTCCACTGGCCGGACGCGTCATCCAGAAGCCGCGCCCACCCCATTGCCGGCAATGGCAAAAACGTCCCGATGTGTTGTGCGACATCATGTGACATCGCAAGTTTGACATGTCTGCTCTAGAGAGTTCTTTATTTCTCTTAACCATTGTTTAGTCCCTGCTCATAGTCACTCACAACCTTGGTCATCTCCCATCTTGACTATTGCAATACACTCTGCATGGGGCTGCCCTTGAAAAGAGCAGGGGTGTCAAACTGCCAGCTCACAGGCCGGATGTGTCATCCGGAAGCCGCGTCCACCCTATTGCCAGCAATGGCAAAACCGTCCCGATACGTTGTGTGATGTCATGTGACATCGCAAGTTTGACATGTCTGCTCTAGAGAGTTCTTTATTTCTCTTAACCAATTTTCCAACCAATGAACGCTCACAGGGCAAGGTCCAGGGTTCCAAGTCCAATCCACCAGGCAGGGTCCAAGCACAAGATCAGGGCAGTCCTCAGGACAAGAAACAGGTCCCAGAAAAGAAGCGGTTCCAAAGCCCCAGTGAAGCGAAGGCCAAACAGAGCCACCAAAGAAGGGCAAGATCCAAAACAAAATGGGAAGAGCAATCTTCCAAGCAAGGCAAGGCAAACAGCAACAGGCACAAGTAAAAGCCGGGGGAGTGTAAGCCAAAACAAACAATTGTTCCTGATAAAGGCTAACTCCCCACGTCTTCTCCTTAAATTATTCTCCTCCAGGTATTCCTTGTGAGGAGAGGTGGGGCAATTCCTCCCGAGTAGCCTTGCAGCTCTTCTCTGGGCTTGCCTATGCTCCACTCTCCTTGCCCTTGGATCAAGCGGAGTAGGCAACTGTTTCTCATCAGAGAAGATTGACTGCTTATCAGCACCACTGCCTGTCAGATCCTCCCCTATGTGCAAGCAGGCAGCTCTCCATCTGGTCGACTACTTCCCCCAAATGCCTAAAGGGCCCATGACAGCATCATCCTCAGCCCCTGGTGTGCCTTTCCTGTTGGATGGTCCCAGCTCCTCCTCCTCCTCCTTCTCCTCCTCCTCCAAACTGGCCTCTGAGGTGACCATGACACCCCTTGCTTTGACACTGTTTCACAAGGCCCTGAAGACCTGGTTTTGCCAATGGGCCTGAGGAACCCAGAGTGGGATGGAACCCATCAAGCGGCTTATGGATAGACTGATTGTTGTCACTGGGGGGGGGGGATTATTGCATTTATTGTTTTTATATTAGGTTGTTATCTTTGTAAGCCATCCGGAATCACTGAGAGTGAATTGGGCGGCCATATAAATTTTCTTAAATAAATAAATAAATTTACAAAATATTTTTTGAAAAGAGAAAGAAGCTTTTTATAATACTAGTACAAGAAGAGTGTTATCAAAAATTTGCGATGCACTTTGCATGTAAAACTGCTGTTTAATGTTATGAGTCTTAAAATATTCATGAATGAGTAATTCACAATTGCTATCACTTATTCGTGAAGTACTTCCAATTTAGATATTTATTTTATTTACCATGTGTATATATAGTCCTGTAAAACAATTCAAGGAGTTTTTGCTTTATAGTAATGGTTTGTAATCTAAAATACATAGATACAAAAAGAAAATGAATATTCTCACATGTTTATATCATAAGATTATATGAAGAGAAGGTGAAATAGTTCTTAATGAAAGTTTGAGGAGGAAACATAAATAATTTGATTCATTATCAAGTCAGTTGTTGAAGATTCACAGCTCTGACAGTTATAAAGAGAGGAATAACATTTCAGTAGAATCCAAGCTCAGTTAATCCCAAGCATTGTACAATAGCTCAGCAATGTTGTAAACATATGGTATTTTTTATCACTGCTTTCTTTGCAGAAAAAAGTACACATCTGTGTACTTTTTTCTGCAAAGAAAGCAGTGATAAAAAATACCATATAATAGAAAATACTCGGGGCTCAGGCTTTAGATTTTGGCAAGTGGTTTGCTCTCCAAGTTTCTTTCAGTTTCGTTTCTGAACATTTTGTTACCAGACTAGGTAACACCCTCAGTAGGATCTTCTTGGCCTGTTCTTCTTAGCTTACAAATGTCTTGTGTGCCAGTTGGTCCAGTGGTCATGTGATTGGTTGTTCGTTTGGAGCTATATTTAAATTCTGAACAGCTGATTGGTTCTCTTGTTGATTGGTAGTTCGAATGGTCTGGTTTCTTACATATTTATATGTTGGATATAGATCAATATTAGATATCAATATTAATATCTAGATCAATGCCATATTTCTGTTTCTGAAATTCTTTTCTCTTTCTCTTTTGAAACAGATATTCTGTGATGCTAAGCAAGTCATCCAGACCACAGACGTATTGGACTGGGAGGATAAAGATGCTGTGGACACTTTGGTTGCTAATGGAGTCAATTCTCGGATCATCAATCCTTTACGTCTTTTTGTGAAGTCCTCTCCAACAATGAAACATGGGCGGATGTCATATTCAGACAAGGACAACTTTTGGGATTGGTTATCCAATATCACTGAAGCTCAGGAATCTCTTGCACGAACTAAACGCAGACCAATTGTGAAAACTGGAAAGTTTAAAAAAATGTTTGGATGGGGCGATTTCCATTCTAACATCAAAACTGTGAAATTGAATCTTCTGATAACGGGGAAGATTGTTGATCATGGCAATGGAACCTTTAGTGTTTATTTCCGGCACAATTCAACAGGCCTTGGAAATGTTTCTGTAAGCCTGGTGCCACCTTCCAAGGTGGTAGAATTTGAATCTTCCCCTCAATCAACTCTAGAGACTAAGGAATCAAAGTCTTTCAACTGCCGAATTGAGTATGAGAAAACTGATAGGGCTAAGAAAACTGCATTGTGTAACTTTGACCCTTCAAAAATCTGCTACCAAGAGCAGACCCAAAGCCATGTATCCTGGTTATGTTCTAAACCATTTAAGGTCATCTGTATTTACATTGCTTTCTACAGTGTTGATTACAAACTAGTGCAGAAGGTCTGCCCTGATTACAACTACCACAGTGAGACACCATATTTATCCTCTGGATGATGTACTCTCTCTTCTTCAATGACTGTTATATTCAGAAAAAAAAATCTGTCTGAAATTCTAGTTTTAAATTTCTTAAGGCATTGTTCCTAATCAGGTTAACTAAGCAGCTTTCTTCTCCCGAAAGGAAAATTATCACTTGTGGCTGGTTCATCCATGCATGTTCTTCACTTGATGACTAGAACATCATATAGCAACTTGCATATGTCATTGAGCCATCATGATCAAGCGCCATGTAACATTGTCATGATCAGAGTCTCTATTTGGCCATGCAGTTGTAATTTCATGATGAATCACCGAATGAGTGGACCAGCCTGAAGGTTTTGCTGTTATCATAAATATTTCAATATCCGAAAATCAAAATATCACTTTTTCGCAGTACAGTATTTGTATTTAATTTCTCATTGTGTCAGATCAGATCTTATCAAATATTAATAGTATATAGATAAGTGCGAAAAGCCAAATTCTTTGCAAGGAAGAGACACAAATGATCTCTTACTAAGACTTGCTGCAACAGCAGATTCAGCTGGTAGTATTGGAAAAAACATTCTTTGTTAGCATTTTAGGAATATTAAACTGCCAGCGCCAGCAAATTTGTCAAAGGCTCTCTAACATGCAGAGATGTTATCAACATGGATTCTGAAATTAGCTAAACCTTTTTTTATGATGTTAGGGAGAAACATTCAGAGAAAGAAATCTCTCAGATGTGCTGCCATGAATTTTGCTTAAAACTTAGGCAAAAATTCTATAGGAGTTTAAAATTAGAAGAATTTCTATGAGATTTGCATAATAGGTTCGTGAATGAATCATTCACAAGCAATATTATTTGCTTATTAAATACCTACAACAATTCTAGCTATAATCTGACAGAACTGTGTCCTTTATGTAACAATTGGGTAGATCAGTTGCACACCTCTAAAGCCATGTTTATAACTATAGGCAAAGTACATGTTGTAACAGGAGCAAAGAACTGGATAAAAGTGTTCTGTGGATATGTTGCCCACTATTCAGATTTGTAGACACTGCCATTCTTCATTCAGTCATGAAAAGTAGTGAACACAGGGATTTTGTTTTAAAAATCAGTGGGTAGAAAATAGAACAGAATTCTACTGAAATATCCATTTAATCCAAAAATATTGAGAAAATGTGTTCTGTATTTAAACTAGTTTGTCTTTAATCTATTCATGTAATTCAGAAATTGGGATCTCTACCAATTTTGCCATTCTGAAAGCATACTAAAATTAAAATCACAAGGTCTCTAAAGGAGATAGTTTTCATTCAGTGCAATAAAGTATAACACTGATTTCATTGAGATAATGAAGCAGTGGCTGATAATCTCCCTCTACAAATGGACTTGGCTTTTTAGTATCATAAACCCTTGCCAGGACCATTATAGAAAAGCTATTAAAGAAGAAATCTAATATAAAATTATAATGAGATCTTTACCAGTTTGCTTTCATTGGCTAAAATTCCAGACCTTGTACATTTGTTTAATTTTTCAGAGCAGTGAATCTTTTCAAAATTAATCTTTTACATAAGATTCACTTATGTAAATACTTACATTTTACCTTTGATATGAATCAATTGGCTGCAGCCAGGTGATCTAGGCATTCACTTATCTCAGACCTGGTAGTCTGCATCAATAAAATAGTGTCATCTCAATCCTCCAATTAAAATTGTTAAATTTTTGCCAAGAAACTATTAACTATCAGTTAATATCCATCATTTTTTTCCCCAGAGGCAGAAATAGATTATTGCATCTACCCATTCACAAATCTGCTCTACATTTTCTGGAGCTTAGTTGAAGAGAGAAGAGGAAAAAGGAGACCTCAGATACATGGAAATTGTCACTCTCATTAACCCTTGTACTTCTGAGAACCTCATTTTCCTCATCCCAAAGAGAAACCAAATGAAAGAGGCATATAAACTGTGAAACCTTTGTGCATTTGGGGATTGTTACATGTGATGATATATCACCCAAATATTTATACAGCAGATTCTAGCATGTCTACCTATAGAAAGAGAAGTCATTCATTGTTGTAAGAAAAGTGATAACCAAACAATTCTCACATTGCATGAAACATCACTTAGCTACATTTGGGATTCAAAGGTTTTTTGTGCATAGAAGATAGGAGATTATGTTATTAGCCACATTCAGAGGCAGACTGACAAACAGTTTCACTTTATTATGCTATTTTTTGCAAAATGAGTGACAAACTCTAGCAGCTTGAATAATAAGATACTCAATAAATTTACAATCATATTTGAGGGATAAGATTAAAGATTCAAACAGTTTTTGGAAAAAATCTATGATGGCAGTGGCGTCTGCACTCAGGGTATGTAATATGAGATTTCTTTGCCAAAAGATCAAGGAGCAGTAAAGAGAGAAAATAGCTGGCTTCTGATAATGTAAGGACCAGACCCTTAGATTTGCTTTTGTTACAATCAGCCATTTTAGTAGGGAAATGTAATTTGGCATGTAGTAAGAAAGTAGTCCATTCCATATTATTTAATATTAATAATATTAGCAAATATCTCACCTACATGTCTGACACAGACCTGTCCAGGATTTTATCTGGGGAAAATTGATATTTTCCCATGATTATCAGCAAGGAGGAACTCCAGGTTGCATTATAAGCACCTCCCAATCAGCATATCCCAGGCATTTATATACCTAATTGGTTCCTCTCTCCATCCACGCTGTTCAGCAGGAACATGTATGCTCAAAATCATTTTATTTGAAGAAAGAAATGGTCTTAGAAATTAAGAGTTTTGAAATGTGTTTGTTTTTATTTATATGTCAAAAACCTGATCATTTCCCTATTTTGTCTTGAAGAGTTTTGCCAAATTAATTCCCCCCCCCAGCTTTTTCTTCTCAAATAAGAAACTAAACTAAAAACTTAACTGAAAATTCTAGTTCACATTTGTATCATGTGGCCTAGATCTGGCTGTATATAAGCTAGGATTTCTTGCTAAAATTTATGAGTTCATTATTGGGTGATTTTGTAATTTAGTTGTAAGCTGTTATTTTTGAACTTGTATTTTTACCCAATTCTGTAGCTACTTTAAATACAAAATGAGATTGTTTATCGTAGAGTATGTGGAAATTATAAATGCATATATACTTAGAAATGTATGTGTACAAATACAGAATATGTGTGTACACATATTTCTATGTAAATAAAGAGAGTTGATTAAATCTGTCATTTGTTTAAAATAGATTTTCTTTTGAAGTACAGTACATCTTCTCAATATAGATGCCTAAATATATTTGCTTTAAAACAGGAGATTTATAACATCAGAATTTAGACTAGAATTAAAAGTATGTCTGAACTGATGTAGGAAATTATCCTGATGCCTTACAAAGTATTTATAGAAGTAAAATGTATGCTAGGAAATTTAATTAAATTTACTACCAACTTAACGAATACAAATATCCTCATTTTACAACCACACTTGTGACCAGCAACTCAGTTGTTAAGTGAAACATCACTAAATGAAACTGCAACTGTGCTTATGATCTTACTTAACCTTTGCTTTGCTTTAGAGACCTGCAAATGTTGTAAATGTGATGATTGGTTGTAACATTTCTTTCATCACTCTCTTAACTATGAATGAGGCTAAATGAGGCAGTTACTTAGCAAGGAACACCTAATGCGATCCTATACTAAGAAGAAACTCTTTAATGAAGAAGATGAATGGAGGGGGAGGTATGATTTTAATAAAACAGTCCATTTTTCTTTGATGCGTTTTACATAGTACTTTAAAGGCAATGTATGAAGTAGTATATGGTAATGGAAGTAAATGTAATGACTTGCAAGGATAGTAAAGTACAGAGAGGTGTAAGTGAATACTGTAGTATTGGCATAAATTAAACTTAGTTATGCAGGCTTATTTTTCTTTAAATCATCTAACTTCCAAATAAAAATAGAGTACAATTAAAGTACAATTAAAATTTCAACGAAAACTGATATCCACTGCCTCTCCCCAGAGTATTTCAGAATAATTATAATTATTGATTAAACTTTATGCCACCCAATTCTCAATTGACTGGATGACTCACAACAATCGAAGTAGAAAGCACAATATAAAATTAAAATGACAAGGAAAAAGATGGTAGGGGTGATGAACTGAGGCGTCTTGCTCTCCCTCAGGGTGAAGGCCAGGGTGAAGAACAGGACTTCACAGCTCTATGAAACAACAGTCGAGTGAGGGCTATCCAGATCTCAAGGAGGGAACCTTGTTCCAGAGGCAGCCACTGCTATAAGGAGACAGGTTTCTGGGATCCTGAGAGGTGGCATTGTTTAATGGAGGGCACCTACAGGATTGAATCAGCCAGGCCGATGTTATGAAAGAAAACTTAAGATGGTCTAGACAGATCAATGGATCTCAAAATAAGGTTGAGGTGTCTTTATCTCAGTGGGTAATTTGTTCCTCAATATGAGACCATATCTGAGAAGGTCAGTCTCCGGCCTGCCATTCCCTTAACTTCATGTGTGATGGAGACACAGGTTGAATACCAGGCTCATCAATTCTGGTTAAGTATGCAGGCACCAAGCCATCTAGGGCTTAAAAAGTTAAAACTAAAGCATTGAATTGGCTGGAATTCTGCTGGTAATCAATGTGATAATGTCAACATATTTAACTTTCTTTCTCTTGTCTCATGTCCTTAAATTTCTTTGACTTACCATTTCTTGCTTCCTTTCTGCACTTTGCATAATGTTGCATATTCCAAAAGAGAATATTCTTGACTTACGACCACAAGTGGAACCACAATTTTGATTGTCAAAGCACTCATGTGTCCATTTATAACCATTTTTACAACAGTCTTTAACTGTATCTTGGGTCTAACTCCAAATCTATTCTATCCAAAAGGCATTTTTTTGCCAGAAACTAGCCAAAAGTGCCAAATCGCAGTCACATGACCATGGGATGCTGGAACCAGTTGCCAATGGCTCACATGTATGATTGGTTCATACATGCGGCATACAAACCCAAATCTAACCATATGACTGGGGAGGGAGAGAGAGATTTTATGACAGCCGGAACTGCTTTGCATGCCATAAAGTACCCTTTCTGAGGCCATTGTAACTCTAAAAGGTGTTTAAATGACCATTTCTCAGTCAAGGTTTGCCTCTAACTTGGCTCTGGAAGTGGCAAAGAATTTACCATTTGGAATATCTGTTAGTTTTAAGAAATGAAAGCACTCCATATTACCCAATTACTGCACAAAAACCATTTCCGTGTAGAAGTTAATTGAACACTCCTATATAAATCCAAAATACATTTCTAGCTGTGCAGAGTAATGAATAATTAAAGCATCTTACATATCTGGTAAGAAACATCTGTGTAAAGAGTGCAATTGATATTCGGTATCCTAGTAACTTATCATAGGAGGAGGCAGAATTGAAGCTGGTGAAGGAATGCAAGAGCTCTTAACCGATAAAAGAGACTATAAATAAAATTGCGGCCATGGAAAAGAAGCAAGCATAAGAAAATTAAAAAAGAAATTAAAATAATCCTGTTCTGATTCTACATAAAGGAGCACAGAAAGAAACTTCAGCAAGCGATATTGTTATTACAATAGTAGGGCTCTAGTAGTCCTTGTGAAATCTGTTTCTTGGAGAGCTGACATCTATAAGATTTATGAATATAAAGGTAAAGGTAAAGGTTTTCCCTTGTCGGATTGTGTTTGACTCTAGGGCAGGGGTAGGCAACCTCTTTTATGACTCATGGACTTCAACTCCCAGAATTCCTGAGTCAGCATGGCTGGCTCAGGAATTCTGGGACTTGAAATCCACGAGTCATAAAAGAACCAAGGTTGCCTACCCCTGCTCTAAGGGAAGGTGCTTGTCTTCATTTCTTAGCAAAAGGAAGCAGCCTTGTCCAAAGACGTTTCCGTGATCACGTGACCAGCATGACTATATACCAAACTCTGTTACCTTCCCACCGAAGTGGTATCTATTTATCTACTTGCATTTGCATGCTTTTGAACTGCTAGGTGGGCAGGAGCTGGGCCGAGTAAGGGTAGCTCACAAACACACATACCGTTGCACAGTGCTGAGCTCACGAACCCGGGCTGTCAGTTTTCCAGTTGACAAGTTCAGCGTCTTTAACCACTGAAATCCTTCATTTTTAACCTTTCATACAAGTTGGGAGAATAATAATTTTCCTCCATATCTGACTTTTGAGTATCCTATTGGGGCACCTCCAAAATGGGTAGCAGGATTTGAGTCTATGGCAAATGGTCACTTAGGGTACCAAAGTTCATGTTTTCGTTGCAAAAAAAAAAAAAAAACCCATGCAAAAGACTGAACTTTCAGTCAGCATTTGAAAGTTAATGATTTAATGAATTGTATTGGTTCCAAATAAAAAATAGTATGATGTTGTCTTATGAATGTATTGAGATCACCTCAGATAAAACACCTAGCTTTATTTACTTCTTTAATTTTTATCACAGCAGATAATATCTATGTGAAGATTAGCGATGAACAGAAATATGTCCCCAGTCTATAATATTAAACATTCAGCCAAACGAAGAGGGTGCAAGTAAAAATCAGTAAAACTCAAATAAATAAATGACAGCCAACTAGTACATATTAGTAATATAATAATTCAACTAAAAGCAAATGTATGGGAATATATTTTCAAAATATATTTGTTGCTTACTTCAGAAGCTGACAATCAACAATTTGAATCAAGGGAAACCAAGAGATTTCAAAAGTAAAGTGATAAATCTACTGAAAACCAATTTCAACCTAATGATTAAATCTAAATTCCATTCAGCACAAGTAAAAAGTACAAAACTTTATTGCTATTTATTTTTTAGCAAGTTACCTCCAGGTACTTTAAGTTTTTTTTTGCTGATCTTGCAAAAAGTTTGTGTGCAACTACTTGACAAAATTATTTCACAGAGGATTTGTTGCAGGTCCTAATAAACAGAGGTCTCCAGTATATGGAGACAAACATCCAACAGTGGATG